TAATATTAAACTCAGCCAATATTACCGCCGAACCCAAGGATTTGCTTATTATAGCAATGGTTTTACAGTTTTAAGGTTTTAGGAATTAGCATTAGTATTAGTATTAGTGCCCGAATAGTGCTATAGATTTATCTATGGATTTCATTGTATGATAGCGTGGCCTAAAGGCACCGATTTGTGCTGTAGTTATAGTGCATGAGAGAGAGAGAGAGAGAGAGAGAGAGAGAGAGAGAGAGAGCTTCAGCCTATATAGCCTATGTACTGTAGTTTGTGAATCGGATTCAATTGAAAATCTACAGTCAATTCTGTACAATATTTAATAAGTTTTCCCACTTTTCAATTATTGATTATCAGATAAACAAATAGTCTTTCATTTAATTTCAAATTTAATCCAAATAATCGTTCAAAAAATAAATTAACATTTGAGTAGACAGTGTTTCGATTAAATATTAATTTAAATTATTGTATATAGATTTTGAATAAAACTTAGAAGTATAATTAAATATTGTTAAAAATGTAAAAATAATGTTGAAAATGTCCTAAAATGGATGAGTTTTTAGTATTAGAGTTTGTATTGATGTGAATAAAGAGAGCAAACGCCTGAATGGTTTGACCGCAAAATGGTTAGCAATATCTGAAAGTCTGCTTTTCTGGTCTCTCTGTGCGGTTGAGACGATTAGCCGAAGCGGATAAAGCACTCGCGGATTATCTTCCACCGCATTCACAGCCATAGGATTTTCATCCCAAAGAAATCTGTTTAACTTAAAAACTGATATTACGATACATACAGATCAGCACTGCCTCTACTACTCGTATGTTTGGTTTGAACCAAACGTTGATATGAGAATCGGTTTAAGAGATCAAACGATATATAAGTTTTTTATGCTTTATATTTTTTGTGGAATAAAATTTTTTAAATGATTGAATCTATATTTACTATTACATTAGATTTGTCACAGAATATTACAATCCTGAAATAGAAATTCTGTAATTTATGGTTTATTTGTTGATATATAAAATATGGAACTTTTAGAACTTAATGTAAATTCTGTGTATAATTTATTTGGTAATAAAATCTAATGATTTTTTATTTAAATAATTTTATTACATATATAATTATTTACATTCTAATGAACAAAATTACTACATTATAATAATAATCATTGTTTGTAACACATAGTATACAGTATCTACAGAGTATTGTATTTAGTTATTCTAAATTATTAAGATATGAATCTAAATAATAGTTTATAATAAGGTGATAGCAAATGCAAGTCAGTTTGAATAAAGTTTATACATTTTAATATTGATATTAATATTTAAGGCAAATTATAAACTTGTCCAAAATGAACTTAAGATTAAACTGAATTAAAGTTTGCAATATTATTCACTTATATTCTGTTGCCTTAATCTCTCGGAGTCCTCCCTTTGCTGCTTTCGCCACTTCGCCCGTCGATTCTTAAACCAAACCTATAGTTCATATCAAACATCACTAATTTATTAGTATTTATTTACTGAATGGTAAGTGAATAATGGAAAATATGTGAACACAAAGAACTAATAGATTCAATCAGATTTTCAAGTATTATAGGCATTACTTGTATAACACTATGAGGTTTGGGAAGCAAATTGAGTGTTTGTACCACAAACTTATCACAGTATTTATCTCTTCCAATCTATTGTGCTAATGACAGAAATGTATTAACTTTCCCTTTATTAGGAATACAAAGTTTGTAATAATGCGTGAAAATAAATAGAGTGTAGAATTTGAATTGAATTTCTCTCATAAGACACTAAATAAAAGAATTCGTTTATAAAGCGACAACTCATTTGATTTACACGAGTATATGAGTAGAGAGGGACTCATATGAAAGCCTATTATAGTTGAGTGCAAAAGAGGTGTCAAAACATTCTGGATATCAATGACTTCTAATCAATAAATACCATATATTTAATCAACATTTGGTTTCAATCTAAGAGTCCTCCCTTTGCTGCTTTCGCCACTTCGCCCGTCGATTCTTAAACCAAACCTATAGTTCATATCAAACATCACTAATTTATTAGTATTTATTTACTGAATGGTAAGTGAATAATGGAAAATATGAGAACACAAAGAACTAATAAATTCAATCAGATTTTCAAGTATTATAGGCATTACTTGTATAACACTATGAGGTTTGAGAAGCAAATTGAGTGTTTGCACCACAAACTTATCACAGTATTTATCTCTTCCAATCTATTGTGCTAATGACAGAAATGTATTAACTTTCCATTTATTAGGAATACAAAGTTTGTAATAATGTGTGAAAATAAATAGAGTGTAGAATTTGAATTGAATTTCTCTCATAAGACACTAAATAAAAGAATTCGTTTATAAAGCGACAACTCATTTGATTTACACGAGTATATGAGTAGAGAGGGACTCATATGAAAGCCTATTATAGTTGAGTGCAAAAGAGGTGTCAAAACATTCTGGATATCAATGACTTCTAATCAATAAATACCATATATTTAATCAACATTTGGTTTCAATCTACTGTATTCTCAATCTAACATCTAACGCCAACATCTACCGTAATTGCTCTCTCTCTCTCTCTCTCTCTCTCACTCTCACTCACTCACTCACACTCTCAAACACACACACACACACACACACACACACACACACACACACACACACACATTCACTCACTCCAATAAGATATTTTTAAATATCAAATATGATTATAATTTTCTAATGTAATGGGTTTAAAAATGCATAGTATTGTAAAGGTTCTCAATACTCTTAAAATAATTGTTAGCAAGTTTATTACAAGTTACTGTATTGAATTAGTTATAGGAAATGTGCCACTCAACCCTGCTTACAAATAAGTGTTATAATGTTAAAAGTACTATACTGTACAGTTATGCAAACATACACACACACACACACACACACACACACACACATACACACACATTCACTCACTCCAATAAGATATTTTTTAATATCAAATATGATTATAATTTTCTAATGTAATGGGTTTAAAAATGTATAGTATTGTAAAGGTTCTCAATACTCTTAGTTATTAACAATCGTTCAAATAATGTTCAATGACATAACTTAATCAATATCCTTTACACGGTGAGTTGGGACGAATGTTTATTCACAATATTACAATTTTCATGATATGACATGTCAATACGTTTGTAGTACTGTAAGCTGTGTTTTGTGGACTTTTCGTATAACTCGTGCAGATATAATAGTTAATGATAGTTGTGATGAGTTCTTACTTCCACTCTTTCCTCTTTGAGTTCAACCCTAAGCGCCAGTTCCTCTCTAAGCAAAACGTCGGGATAGTGTGTCTTATCGAAGGCTGCCTCCAACTGTTCCAACTGTTCTTCAGTGAATATAGTCCTGTGCCGGCGCTTCCAGAATACAGGACTTGAGTATTTTGACCGGCATTCACTCCTTTACTTCCGTCTTCACCTGTGGACAACAACATTACTCAAGACGTCCACTATCCCTACTCGCCACGCTGGCCAGTAGTCACCCAAAGGAGAATAAGGAATGGCTGTTGGGATGGCTGGTGGAGAACTCGAGGGTACTATTCATTCAATGAATATATATTCATAAAAATAATTTGAAATACTAAATAACAATTGTAATCAAATAAATGCATAAAAGCTATAATTTATTAACAAAATGAGTCAATACTTACGTAATTGTGTTGAATAAGTAAACATATCATAAGGGCCATCTGTAGCCCGCATCCCCAATAGCGTTTAAGGCCCCCGCAATATCATCTCGCGGCCCACTATCGGCCAGCCCAACCGACAGCCGCGTGGCGAAAGGACTGGCAACCGCAGCTCCCGGCCGGGAGCGCCACCACTTGCGGCCCCGTTTGCGACTGAACTGCAATTTTTATGGTTAGCGCCGTTAGCTTTGATCTTATTTGTGGGTAAGTCGAGGATGTCTTTGACAGAAAAGCCGAAAGTTTTGGCCTCTTTGGAGGCGCCCACCGATGAAGCACTCGAAGCATTGCTTAACATTTTCATTATCGACAACACATTCATAGCATAGGCAGACGTCGGACAATACATTCAAATGCAGACAATTCTGTCCCTTATTG